TGTGTGTGTGTGTGTGTGTGTGTGTATGTATATGTACATGTATATTTACGCCCTTGTATCTTATACATGATAGTAAAACTTGCGTTATGGCTTCCACTTTGATAGCATCATTGTCGTTTAAAGGTATAACCGTTTTTTTAATATATGAAATTAGATTTGATTTTCGTATATGATTGGATTTAAAATTTGAAAATTTGCCCTTGGACGTTTACTCGTTCAGCACTGTCGTAGCTTGGGATAAGCTTTGTCTACCTTAGGGCTTTAGCATAGGGAGCGATGCACCAAGAGAAGTGAAATAGTCGTAGAGATTGAGAATTATTTTTAAATTTGCAATATTTCCATATTCTATCCTGCTTTTTACTGAATTAAGTTGATTTGGGACATGGATTGCAGCGGGTGTACTATTGCCCAAAAAAAAATTTTTTTAATTTGTTTTTCGATCATTGTCGTATCGGTGGCGGTATAATTTAGCATCATTCATATGCAAAAACACGAAGTTGACACTGGTATCGCACAAACTAGTGGGGAGGAGGAGAAGGACAAGACGGAATCTGAAAGTGAAGAAACGTTGTTGGAGCCACGATTCAAATATTCTAGAATTTTGAATAATGTACCTGGAGTAAGTGTCGCATATTTCCTTTTTTAAGGGAAACAAAATATACTGAAGAAAACTAAAAAACTATATGATGAAAAAATCGTTTCTGGTAAATGACTGTTAAAAACTTCGGAGAAAATATGCAACAACCGAAGCAATTATTTATAAGAGTTGAAATTAAATGGGATCAAAGCTTATAAAAAATCTTACTCAGATTCCGGCAATAAAGTTTTTTATTATTGTCTTACCAGATATTGCGAAAGGATATGGCGACTTGCATGGCAATACATAATAAATTCGCAGCAGTGGGTAGTCGTTCCGGAAGCGTATACATCATTGATCATTTTGGAAGTTTACATCCAGAAAATGTTAGCTTTGGTTTTCGAGAGAGAAGGAAATGTACGATATAGATGAAAAAATATTATTAGCCGAATTTCAGTCTCAAAAATTCATAGATTTCTTTGCCAATTTGTTTTTTCACACACAAATATGTACTTTGAATCTCCTTAAACTGCATAGCAACTTGTATTTCTGTGTTATGGAAAAGTATTGTGAAATTTGCCCTTTTAAAGACAAATTTCGCAGATTTCGGGGCAAATACTAAACGAAATATAAGGGATTATTGTTTTTGCAGATATTTACAAGTTCAAGCTACTCTTCAATTTTTAACTTTTCAAAAAGCCGTTGTGGGCTAGTCATTGTAAAAAAGTCATTTGCGAATCAATTAGCAGATATATGTACATTTAGACAGCACGTCATCATAGATGTCCCGTTACAAAAATATCAATTGATCCGACGGGATCATACTTCGTCAGTTGTTCACAGGATGCTCGAATCAGTGTTGCGGGAATTACTTCCTTTGAACTTGCCCAGGTACTGTTTGATGAACGTTTTCTTTCTAGTTTTTTGCTTACAGTGCTAATACTTGAAATTTATTGAGATATTATTTATTTTAAGTACAACAGCAGTATTGTGCAGAATGGAGCCGGTGCATTGTTTATTTGAAAATGTTTCAAATCCCTGAGGTAGTGATAAAAACGGTACACGCTACCTTGTGCACTCATTTTTAAACAGAATGCATATACTATACTGTATTGCGGTTTGATCGAATTGTGAATAATTTTCCAATGTAACTCCGGATTAATTTTAATTTGATGTCATTCTTCACGATAAAAGATATTGGAAGAATCGTTAAAAATTCTTTTCTGAGAATGAAAGTGACTTTAGAAAGTCGCATAAGAGGAACCGTTTCTGCAACATTCTATTTGCTTTCTCATGATTAGCTGATTGAAACAATGCTGCAATCATTGGTAGTAGGGACAGATTACAAGAACGTAAAATAAGCAGACGATGCCGAATGCCATATGGAGTTGCGCTGTTGTTTTTTCATCAGTCACTTTCAATCTTCAGCAGCATGATTCAAATTTAAAATTATCATATCATACCATCATAGTTGCAGGTTATAGATTTAAAGTTAGCTGCACGATCGATAGCAATAGATCCGGATTTCACCAAACGTGGTTCAGGACATATGTTTATAACTGGAGAAAGGAATTTATTATTGCATCAGCGAACGTTTTTCGGCAATTACAAAGAAAAGGTCGCCATTTATATTATATATGCTTCGAATGTATTTTAATCTTCGTTCATGAAATAACTTCCTATTTTATACCCTTAGTTCATCTTACATGAGTTTTATTCCTTAATAACTGGTCTTCCCATTTAATCCTATATGTGTTGCAAAACACTGAAATGTGAAATAAGAGTAGGTATCTCAGGATATATCATTGAATAATCGTAACATAATCGTATTGTTGGTCAAATTATGCATTCCTACCAAAATTTCATAATTTTCTACATAGTCGGTCGTACAAATGAAAAATAACTGTTTCTTTGCTATTGATCATAAATGCATGCAAAAAATCTTACATCCCCTTTTTTCTTTTTATGTTTCATTCCCAGTTAAATGTAATTTAAAATGGCTCAGTTTTTGGTCCGTTCAGATATTATATGAAGGTATGGATTGTGATGGAATGATTACACAAATTTCGTGGCAAGATTGTTGCATTGCTTTTACGAATGAAACAGGAACTAGAATATTTGATAAGTAAGTATTAGTCGATTTCTAGTCTTACTTATTTTATTTAATTCATAGATGATAGTTTCCTAATTATCTTTACATGGTATCTGAAATATTTCAATCATTGATAGCAATTGATTCGTCAAAAAAAATCTCATTTTAATCTTTTCAATTACAATTTGTTCGTGGTGCTTTCATAACACTTCAATCAACCTACTCTTTTTTTAATAAGCTAAACATCTTGCTTTATTTCCGAAATGCAAACCAGTTAATTGCATTAGTTCAATCTACACATGAAAAACATTCAACACTTGCAATCAAAGCTCGCCCGTCTCACTGTTGGATCAACAATGGGACTCTGGCAATTGGATGGTACGATACTGTTTCCATATGTTTAATCGTTAGTTCGTTTGATTCACAGGTAATTTTCGACAAATTTTCTCAAGTTTTGAATAGGCTTTAACTGCAGCTGTTTTCATAAATTTTTGTTAAGGCACTTTCATCGACTGAAAGGAAACGAGTGGAAGTGCATTACGCTTGGAAATTCGATATGTATATAGCTGATATTTCATTCACGCTTACTGATGATAAATCCTGCTTCTGGAAAGAAATAGCAGTTTTTGGGATAAAGAAGACAACCGTTCAAAATGTGCATCTTTTTTGTTTGTTTACAGATAATTGTTAGGAGAAGTTTATTTACATAAGCATTAATTGATGATATTGTCATAACCTTAAGTTATTTGCCCACCTTATTTTTTTAAAAGCAAATTTATAATTAGGATGGAGAAAGGAACAATTGCTTTTTTTCCTTCCACTACTATATTCTAGAAAAGTTTTACTTTTAAATGAAAAAATATATAGTAGTTCATTGGGATTTATTCAAATATCTCCACCATAATTCATTTACGAAGTATTTTCAAGCCTACACAGAATGAATGTGAGATGGTACTGGCACTGTTAGAACCAGAAGATTCAAGCACATTTAATTTGACTACCGAAGATAGAATCGAGATGTACACTTGTGATCGAAGCAATCTTACTTTATTTCATATGTCTTCTCTCCCACATGAAAATGTATACTTTTTGCTTGGTTGTCAGGAATTTATTGAGGTCAGTTTTTCCTTGTTTAAAAATCCCATATCTCATAAATTCCTGTGTAATTTACTACTACTTTTGCCCAAGATGCACTTGAACATGAGCTTTTCTGGTTTTTTATCATTACTGGTTCCAGTATCTGATCGAAATCAATATAGTTTGAAAGTACACAGCAATTTTATTACCTTGTATTGTGTGCTTCAGGGCATAGGGCAATGGTTACAGTCAAGATAGAGCCATCTGTGAAAAGACGATCGCAAAAAAAATTAAAGTACATAGATGCATACAGATCTTTCACGTAGCAAAGCTAAGTTTACAACAGTAACAGAGATAATGGCTCCAGTGATCTGCTGGTTGATTACATCTACGGCTATAAATGTTGCAGGCGCAGCCATGTTCGGCTGATGATCGAGTACGATGGTATTTGGAGAATGACTTACTTCGTGATGCAATGCAATATGCAAATGAACATAAAACTCAACTTGAGCATTTAGATCCTGTTGATATTGGAAGACGCTATTTGAGCTCTCTCATAGAGCAAAAACGTTTCGCCGAAGCTGCCACAAATCTTAAAGCGGTTTGTATACAATTAATTTGTTTACATAAGTTTGTGAGAATCTCCCATACAGAGTTATATTCCCGAATCATAGAATAACATAATTTTCTGTCAACCATACCTCATCCATCACTCGATTTCCCTTTTTTTATTTATATAAATTGCATTTTCTTTGTTAATATTTACACTGTTTCCGCACAAGATCACGTACGGACATCCTCTCATCTATAATTTCTGCTACTAAGTTATCCTTTAAATTATGTTGTATTCGATTTGATTTTTTTCATTGATGTGCACCGAAATATCTTTGTTCAGTACTATCTAAGTTTGAAATCATTTAATATCTAAGGTTTGTGGACGTCAAAAAGATCTGTGGGAATATTACGTAAATGAATTTGAACAGAATAATGTGGTCCTTCAATTGGCAAAATACCTTCCGGTAAAGGATCCCCAGTTGGAACCAGAATGCTACCAATGTGTACTGATTGCTGCATTACACAATCATCCAGTTTTATTTTATAATTTGGTCAAAGTTTGGAATCCAGACTTATTCCGAGTAGGTTGGTGCTTTAACTCACTCATACGTATCTATTTATTCATTCTGTCATGCGTTATTTATATGAAATTTTTTGAATGAAGGATGAAAAGCGAAAGAGAAAGTTTCCACTTCAAATCAAAATTTCTAATGCTTCAGGTGCAATAACGGATATGGCAATGAAACGGATTATACATGAAAATGTGAATCCACTGTCAGAAAATGATGCTGTAGCTATTTATCGATCCCTGGCTCGCCTTTATCTTTATGAACGAAAATATGACAGAGCTTTAATGCTTTACATTATGTTAAACGATAAAACTGTCTTTCAGGTCATCGAAAAGTATCACCTCTTCGATCTGGTAAGTCTTCCATCTTTGCGATTTATCAAATTTTAAGTTACTTATCTTCTCTATCTCAGCCATTCCAATTTCATTAGGAAAATTTAACGCTTCTTAAAATAAAATAGTGCTATTTTTTTTTTAATAAAATAGTGTAGAAAGTATTCATGCTATTATTTATCCCATTGCCTTAAAAAGAATTTCGACTTTGATAATACTTTAGAATCTAGCAGATACAAGAGAAGAATAAAGGCCTAGAGCAAAGACATAGATGTATGAGTTGTATTCCACGCTACAGGTTAAGAATGATTTGACAAAACTAATGGGTATCGATACGAATCTGACAATACGACTGCTGATTGAAAATGCTGGAAGTCTTCCAACAAAAACAATCCTAACGCAACTCGCGATGTATCCAAAATTACAGGTTTATTTTGTTTTTTAATTTCTCCGTTTAATTTTTAAGAAGAAATTGAATTGTCGTCAAAAAGTGATATTTTTCAGATGGCTTATTTAAATAGTCTATTTGAAAGGAATGAAGGAGAGGAATTTATCGATTTCGCTATAGGACTGTATGCTGAAAATGAACCACGACTTCTTTTACCGTTCCTTCGGAAAACAGCGGTCTACGATATAGCAAAAGCCATTGATATCTGTGAAAAAAAGCAATACATCAATGAGGTTATTGATTTGGTGCTTTAAATTACCGTAAAATTAAGGTCAAAATTGCCAGGCTAATTTTTAAGTTTTAATCATCCTAAGAAATAATACGAATGGTGTAGCGGCAATGACATGTCAGAGCTCGATTCACACAGCCAGCTTAATAAGGCAAAGCCTGGGATTAACCTTGGCATTAGACCACGGCGTAAAATTATTACAAATCATTATTATCGAACTGAAAGCGTGATTGCAGATGGTTTATTTGCTGGGAAGAAGTGGAAATCGTATGAAAGCTTTGGACTTACTTGTAAATAAGCTTGGTTGCATTGGTAGTGCAATTGACTTTTGCCGTGAAAACGATGAATCTGATCTATGGAATTCACTGGTCGATGCGGCCGTGAAACAACCAGACCATATCACGGAACTTTTGAATACTGCTGGAAAATACGTTAATCCATTAAACATTATTGAGAAGGTTTCTTTTTTCAATTAAATACAATGTTCTGTTTCTTCCGATACTGTTAACTTTGTTTTTAAAATTCAAATTCTTGTTATTTTCTTGTACGAACTCTTGTACGAAAAAGATCGTGCAAGAAATGAATCCCCGAAATACTTGATCCAAGCATTTTAATTGCAAGAACGATACGTTGATAACTAGCAAGCTTGCTATCATTCTGCAAGCTATTACTTTAAGACTTCAGGAAACTTACTTTGATGAAGGATGAGGTGATTTTTTACAAATGTGAAATTGATGCCTTTTCCATTTCCCAGCACACTATCTTTCGGAAGACTGTTTATTGCTGATACTTAGAATGTGCGAATTATCACAAACTTTTTAAGTTTTTAGATTCCAGAGCAAATGAACATTCCTGGTCTACGAAATTTACTGGTAAAAATTTTGCGTGATTACGAATTACTTGTTCAAATGCAGTGTGGCTCTCTGCAAGTAATAGAAGTCGACAGTAATCAGCTTTTCGCAAAATATTTATCAAATTGTAAACGTTCGACTTTCATCGGCTTTGATCAATATTGCATTATATGCAGGTGAAACTATTCCATTTTAAAATTAACACAATGTAAATAGGTTTCCTCCTCTTCCAATAGTTCGATTTCAGGATAGTTCTGGTACAACGCGAAAAGCCTACTGACTGCAGAAATACAAATAGTGATATCATTGTTTATGGTTGTGGACATTCAGTGCATACTCGTTGTTTACATGTCCCTCATTCAGATGAACGAATAATGACGGAAAGTGGTAGATGTCCTATGTGTTATGGGTTACACTTATATGGAAAACGTTAGGAAAATAAATCATGTCTCAAGCAGTGCTTGCGGAAACGTCCTGCAGATGATCCTCCCCAAGAAACCAAATATAGGAAATTCGAAATATTTCGGGAGTACAAATGTCTACTATGATACCCTTTGATAAAGTCGACTCATATACCGAATCAAAACTTTTAACTTATGTTTGTTTATCAGATTATAATATCAACTAGTACAAATAAAGTTTGAGGAAATTCTTATTTAAATTCCATACTTCAAAAGATATCTGTAGCTCTGAAATATTTAAAGCACCTCTACCAGATACTTCTCAAGTTTATCTCCTAGTCTTTAATCAGTAATCGTGTATAATGTTCCTTGACAAGCATTTCTGTTAAGCATTATTTTCCAACCATCCAACAACAAATGCAGCTCTCACTGGAATGATATAGCATTTAAAGCAAGTGTCAATACCCCCCTACTAACATCTCAGCAATGTCTCCGTAATTATTGTTGACAAAGTTGACATCTGTAGGAACCACATCCACAACTATATCCTTAACAATGCTATCGATTATCAGCTGATTTTTAATTATGAGATAGATTTTCAAGATGAGTTATTAACTTACGAGTTTGTATGATGAATTTTCAACAGAATTGGAGAACATTTATTCCCCGTCAGCTAAAGAAAGAATGTAAGAATATTGATGGAAAAATCCAGAAATCCCATAGATGATTACGAGACCGGAGTGGTTTGTAATAATAATGGTCTATAAAAATGACTAGAAATAGTAAATAAATAGTATGTGGTACATATGTAATGGAAAAATACGAAAGTGAGGGAAAATGAAAAACAATATTAGGTGCTCGATGGTCGGTAGTGATCTATTCAGGTAACAAAAACTGGGCAAATTTACTTGTCAGTGACAGGAACGGTATTTTGACGGTGAAAAAACCAGATAGCATTGTTTTTATTGCAAACTATATTTCCCGGCAACTCGTAACGCAATGAATACAATAAAACGATACGTTAGTACTGGGATCATCAACTTTTCAGGATCCAATATACAGGCATGCTGAGCTGGCAAATAGAAGCTGGCTGAATGACCGGTCCGTCCTTTTGATCCTAACACCTTAAGACAGCTTTTATATGGAGTGCAAACTAACTGATAGGAATGTAGTAAAACATCAAATATTCTTTATACAACAATCTGGAAAAGTGATCGTCTCAACCAATGAAAAGTAAAACAATTTATGAAATCATTACGAATTTGCCTATTTAGGAGCGGCAGATTGAATTAATAAATTAAATTCATACTTCAGCAACACTGTTAATACAAACCTATCACCACCGAAATATTAAAGATGAAAAATTTATTCTTAATGGCAAGCATCGCTAGAAAACGTATCCAAACTATCAGTCTGTGGATTAAAACATTTCAAAATAGCAAATAACCAATGTCCGAAAGCTGCACCCGCAACTACGGCTACGGTTAGCCAGACATTATATGTCATCGCAATAAGCATCAAGCAATACGCCAACGTTAGCTGTACAAGATAAAGGACTGCCTGTAATCATAAACTATTTTAATGTTGTACCACATTTCAGACAATTTTACTGCTCTGTAACTGAGGTAGAACTAACAAAAATGTTAATTATATACGTACTTGCATGAATCGAATTGTAGGAGAAAGCTCTCTCTTGGTCGTTCTGAAAAATCGGAAAAAATATATAATTTTGGATTTCACATGCGACATAGAATAAATGTCAAACCAGTAGAATCCTTAAAATCCCTTCTGAACTATTCGTGATGAACCCAGAGCGACATATACTGCTGATCAGTCCTAGCAATTCCATATTCTGCTGATGTAAATTAAAATATGAAACGAAAGTTTTAAAAGGGACTGCGAAAATTAAACATTTTTTGAATAATTTTGACGAAAACTTATTTTTTTAGGTAGTTTCTCTTCCAAAAATAAGTTCCTCTCATGGTAATTTGTTTATTGATAATGTTAAAGATGCGGAAAACACTACTACCCTTCAAATATCAAAAGAGCCAACCTGCTCGAGACCTGCTGGTAACCAAGTGGTAAAGTGATCGTTAGAGGAGATGATGCAAAGGAACGACTGCAGTCAATACGTTTGTCGTCGTCTTGCTTTATTTCATCTTGCTTCCCTTCATCATTGGTATGACGGCAACTTGATGGACATCGTGCAGTAGAAAGCTGTAGATAAACACGAAACCACTTAATCCATTCGTAAAAACAAGCCATTATGAAGATCAACAAACAGGAAAGAAAGAGACCTGCAATTACTATCACAGAAGATATATTATGTTATCTGTGAAACTATTCCTTTCAATTCACTAAATAGTTGCTGCTCTTTTGTCAGTTATTTTCATTTTTGAATATTATAATGATAAAAAGTGAATTAAGGAAAAGAAAAAAAGATGAACTAATTAACTGCTGACAATAACAAGAAGAAAAAATACCAACATTCAAAAAAAAGTATGAAAGGTTAGGATTTTGAGTTTTCCCCTCTAACAAAAACGAACGATCAATGCGATCTTAGAAAATTAATAGTAAAAGCTTGAAAAAATTAACCGTGCAAAGATTCGATTTGCCAAAATTCGAATAAAATTATTTCATGATAACCGAAATGAAACCACATCTTCATAGCATGCTGTCTATGTTCATCATGTTGTTGATGGAGATGTTCTTTTCCGTGCTTCATTAATCCATCAGTCATTCCATGAATGTGATAATGGTCCACTTGTCCATTATATCCAAGCATTTCATCCTTGTCCATTATTTCAACATTATGTCCCTGATTGTCTCCAAAAGAAAATAATAAAGAGAGCGTATTTCATAAGTGGTAAACAATAACGAATGTACGGAAATGTTGAAGTCCTCTTTTTAACTTCAAAATAGGTTAAATCTGTATATATAAGTAAGAACAGACTTGCATAAGAATTATGTGAATAAAACAATTTAAACAACACAGCATTAACCACCTATATCAATTAAAAATGCCGTTTGGAATATACTATTATCCAAATAAAATCAGGAATATTACCTAACTTCAGCTCATGAGCAATTCGCTATAATATGGTTCATGTCTATGTTCTGTATTACATTCTTCTTAATAAATAAATAACAAAGTAAATTGAGAGAACCTGGATTCTTATAATCATTATAATTAGTCGCTAATTCATCGAGAAAGCTTTTCACGCTACCTAGCCGATCAAACCCTGAAAAAGCGCTATTGTTTGTTGGAGGTGAATTTAACCTTCCACGTGCGGGACTCGATGCAGTGCTCATGATTACCTGAAATATCATAAATGCTATAGTTGAATTATTCTTTCGATCCGCTACATATGACCGAAACCCGTAAAATCACAAACAATACAAGATAATTCATAGAATAGTAAGCAAATATCCACCAGTAAACGAACTAATTGTCTAAAATATTATTTCCGAAACTTTTAGTAGTACGTCGTTAACGAAATTGAGTTGGAGAACTTCCTGTTCCTACTATTAAATTGAACAACTGTTTTTTCATAGATTCAAATTTAAATCATAGATTCAAACGAGATCAATATGGGAATCTTCACAACGAATAAGCCAAATTTTCTTTATGAAACTTTAAGATTGAACTCCAACTAAGCTAACTTTATATGTACAGAGATTAATCCGAAATGAAATTAAAAGTAGACAATGAATTAATCAACTATAAATATTATTCATAACAAATAACAACAGTGGGAAATAGCAATGCCCATATGTGCATTAAATTGCCGTCGCCATAAATGTTATTGCCATCTAATATTATTAATAAATAAAACAATGATTAAATCTCTACTTTCCCCAAAACACTTTAGAAAAATAGCTTTGAAATTGTCGCCATTATCAATGAATGAAAAACTATTAGACAGATGTCCTCATATGAAATCTTCGCTAATTTGCCGATACCGTGACGTCAAAAACAACATAATAACATAATTGTAGCAATCTGTTTTATTGATTCAGAACTTGAGCAGTAATAATTAAATGCCACCCATATACACATAGATATATTCATTCTACAACTGTTAAATGTGTAAGTCCCCTAAAGAAGTAACAACACTAAGTGTTATTCGTGATAATGAATTCAAACAGATATTATTGACAACAGTTTCAAGCTCTTCTTTCTATCTGAACCTATCGTGCTTCTAATTTTCAGTTCACTTTTAAACAGCAGCATAATAACGATGATGAACATATCGACCTCGTAAGTATGCTATCTGATCCACAGATTTTTGCAATAGTTGACCAATCCTTCTAAGATTATTTGCTCCAACATACAAAATATGAAGGAAGATGTTAATAAAGACCACAAAAAAATATCATAAGTGAACAAGAAATTTTGAAAAATCTCAAAAGAAAATGACAGAGCTATAAAAAACTAAATCTTTCTCAAAAAAAACCAAAAAAATAATTTGCTCTTACAGACGGCGAACAATTTCCTATTTAGGCAGCACTTAAACATCAAGAAATAAATATAAACTTGAAAAATACTCAAAAGTATACTTTATTTGGAAAAACATTCATTAAATTACTCAATACTTTCGCAACATAGCGATACTGAGAATAGATTTCAAAGAAGTTATGGAAATAAATCAGCTCTTCAACAAAATTCTCAAATTTCGTTAACTCCGAAAACTGAAAAACTTATTCCTAATGTTTACGTGAAGTCATCGTTAGCAAATGACTCTTGGACAGATCAAAATCTGATGAAAAAGAATAAATATAAAATGTATGGGTATGAATAAACTTAATGATCACTACAATAACGAGTTCGAAAGATATAAAATGAAGGCAACGATAAGTTGAAAGTTTTAAAAGATATCCTAATTAAGTACAAAAAATCTCCCGATGGTGTGCAGTAATCACGCATTGAAAAGAAAAAAATGAGCTCAAATTAAAAATCAAAACATTAATAAAAGCGCTGCATATCTCGATTATCCTCCACGATTAAGATGCAAAATTTCTGTTTCTCATGCTTCATGGAAAAATTCACCATTTACAGATTAACTGTTCAGCTTTTCACCCTACTTATAAGCGCTCCTAAAAAGTCATGACCTTATTTAATTTTGAAATTTTGTTAAATTTTGCTAAATCCGGTAAAAGTAGTCTTCTTGAAAATTATTACCACACTGCATCAAAGAAATTTAATTACTTCGATATAGGTTGACTCTGATAGCAGAAAAGTGCCCATATTTCGTGCAAAATCCTTCGAGAATTCACCACGTAATCACCAAGATAAAATATGCCAACCACACTTTCAAAAAGAGATATTCACGTTGCAAAAAATAAAAAAAAACATTACTGTTGCTTAGAAGCCTACCATTCAAAGTAGTTAGGAAAGAAACTTTGCTGGATCAAATTTTTTAGAGTCGGATTCCATAACCCCACACAGATATTTTATACAAACGCTATTCCTTCATATTTGAACTTGCCAAAGAGTGGCATTTCTTCGAGCAAAATATGGTTCGTTTCATAATTAAATATTGTTACATAACTGGCTACTGGTAATCCATCTTTTTCCTCCGATTTTAATGCCACAATTACTCGATCATTAGTACCAGGAACAAACTGGAAAGCTGAGAAGCCTCTTCCACTGCTTATTGGTCCAATCTGTTGATATCTTATGTTAGAAAAGTCTTCCGAAGCAATAAGCAAATAATTAGTACCTGAAATAAGAAATGTGAGTACAATAATAAGCCAATTAAGTGCACTAATTAACTACCAAACACTATAATCCAGAACGCTTTTAACTTCAACTCTCTTTTTAATTGCACTCAAAATTTCTCTGAGTATGTTCGAAACAAACTGTTATATCCTAATCTTAACGCAGTTCAGTTGTGTAAAATTACGCAATACTGCCAGTGCTCGACTTACTTTGCATATAAATCATGAATCAATTTTACATACTTATTTCTTTACTACCCACTATCATTACAAGTGGGATAGAAGAATACTGCTAAAGAGTGCTCGCATCTAGAATATGAAATTTATAAGCATAGTTCACACAAGTTCGAAAATTCAATGACTATGACGATGGGGTTTTGAATGATATGGTTTATGAAACTAAGTATCTACTGACCTCTTTCCTCATCCTCTGCTTCGGTATATGCTAATTTACTAGCTCTTCTAGGTAAAAAGAACCACTTCCTTTTGATTTCTGACCATTGAACTGATTCGTGAATCATATAACCAGGCCATTCAATCCCAACTGCCGAACGTAATTTTTTGTATTCTTCAACCCAACTGATATGTTCAACGCTACCCTCAGGAGTTACAAACTGAAAATATCAAATATAAATTCTTTTTCAAATAGCGACCAGAAAACTTCTTTTTAGCTCAATTGTTGGAATCAAAAGCGGTGAATGAATTCCAACGAATTTTGTTAACATCACTACGTTATATACTTTTTCTGTATATCGGATAACAAAAAAAATCAAAAAAAAAAGATCCACAATTAGTCTATAATATCTGACTCTTATTTTCAGCCACGCAATTGACATGAAAGTTAATGATTTGAGAATAAAAATGGGCTGATCTTCCCAGTTACTTGACCACACTTACACTTGAAGCAATTAAACCCTTGTCGAGCGATGAAACAACTTCACCCCGTTACAAGGATAAATTTAGCTCCTTTTATTAATCTTCAAAAGGAATCAAGTAAACTCATTTTCTCGTTTTTCTGATATAATTTTTTTCACAATCAACTTTCTGCGTGCATGTTGATAATATTGCTAGAAATAATCCAACAACCATAGCCATTATTTTATTAAGAAAGTATGCATGAGGTTTAATTGTAATCATCAAATCAAATCTCTGTTGTGATTCGTTTTTTATCACTGGTTACAAATGCATCTTAAACATGACCTTTAACTAACTATAACAAAAAAATCGGCAACTGTAAAAAAGAAAATCGTGGGATGATTCCAATAATTTTTGCTACAAGCATGACTAAACGTTTTCAATTCCTTGCGATGTGAGTAAATCGGTAAATATTAATAACTGACTGATAAAATTAATCACTGTTTATTTATGAACTGTGAGAATGTACCTTGATCCACATTGGGTTTTCGTTGACAAAGACACCTTTTGCTGTTGTCCACTCTTTCCCAAGTCCACCAATGTAAAGGTTACCATCCTTCACCGTCATCCATTCACCTTTGAAACCTTTTGTTGTATTTCCATCACCGTCACTGAGGTAAATCTTAAATTGGTGCAATTTTCACATTCTATCGCAGAATGTATAAATGCAAAATCTTTGCATCAAAAATCAAAGCAAATAAAAAAAACCCAAGGATAAGCCAGGTTTTTTTCGATCCGATAAATAATTCCAGTTCGATCATCTACCGATAATAAGTTTCCATCGAAAATGACGAGATCCGACAATTCCATCGACCGTCCACCACCAGCAATTGTCGAATAAATTGAGATCTGTAGAAACAGCTTACACATATAGCATGCAATGGGTCGTTTTTTTAATTTTATGGCATTATACCATCACCTTTAAAAGACTTGTACAACTTTCACAAGAAATCATATCGAGTAACTTGAATTTTTATAGAAGCAAAAGATTTTCAAAAATAAATTCAGGAAATGCATCAAAAAAACTACTAGCAAACATATTTACTGATAAGATTCAAACCTACATACGGTTGCAGAGCAGGACCAATTGCACCAAAACCTTAGTTACAGAAGGCAACAAGTATTACCTGTTCATTGACGTTCCACTGGAGAGATGCTTTAGTATACTCTTTATTCACCGTGAGAACACCAAATTCTATGAAGCTCTGCCATAGATTTTCTTCTGTCGGATGCTTACTGCTCTTGTCAAGATCGGTCACAACCATTATACGGAACTGATGGGACCCATCGGCTAACAAAACTTCACGCCCTATGAAAAAATCAGAAAAGCCATTACCAAACTCCAATCTTATAATGAATCCTGAAGTTTTTTTCGAAAATATCATTTGCTCAAGACATAAGTGAAATATCGTGCATACTGGAAGCAATTTGACATAAACAAAAACCTCAGGGTACTGATAAGGTTAGAATAAAGCATTCCAATATATTTATAATATATTCCAATGTTATAAAGATAATAAAGAGAGTGAAAAACCACGGATTAAATGATCTCAAATTCTTAGATGGAAAATATCGACATTAATTACTATCTACTACTTACCAAGTTGTGACGTATTATACGGTCGACGATAACACCCCGGTTTCTGCATATTTTTCGTTAATGCGATGAATGCTGCACATAAAACAGTTATAAGCACAGCAACAGTTAAGGATGAACCGGTTGAGAACCTGTAAATATCATTCTTCCGCATTCTTTCGAGATTAGCCATGTAAATGAAACTCGTATTAATTATAGCGAACTGAGAGGACGTGGAAACCTGAAATCAATTATTCAAGTGATATGTCACACGCACTGACAATTGAACCACACATCTTTCATTATGTTTAAACACTCTCCCTTCTTAGTATCAGTTCTTGAATGCTAAGAATAAATAACTCGTTAGAATTACTTAAAAAAAGAAAGGTAAAATGAATTTGAAATGTGAAATGTCTCCGAACGAAAATTTTTTTGATTTGAAGATGGATACAAGCATATCAGGAGATAAATTGAATTTCATTTCTTTAAAACAATTCCAAAATTCAAACGACCTATCAAAACGGAAAACATCACGCCCACTCTCTTTCCCTTTCGATAAGTTCCAGTTCGGCACTTCCTGCAACTCGAATGCAAACCGGCGGCTCACGTGTTCCGCACGTCGTTCAAACGGCAGTTCGGCCAATGATCTAATAAGATGCGGGAGGAGTTCAGGTCGGCGTAATCTGTGAGCGAGTAATATTGAAGAGTCGGCAGTTTCTCAAATTCTGGTAGTTTTACACTCTCCCAATTAACCTCTTATTCCTGAGAAATTGCGATTGTTGATATCGGTACTGCAGTGCGGGAAGAAAGTCGTCCAGGGTACTTCGATCTCAGGGCGGGACGTAAGTTACCGGTAGTTATGAGAGTGTGGTGAGAAGAATGGAATGTGACAGTGACGGTTTGACAGTGTCTGGACACAAAATGCCATTAAATAAAAGTGAGGAGAAGGGAAGCAACCCTGATAACAATTACTGATATCGGACTGCCGAGCATTTTATTGTCTAAAAAATGATTGTAAAGGGAAGAATTTGTAATTTTTCCCCTCTTGAGAGTCACCCTAGCACTGTCTATGAGAGTTGTACCCCTGCAATTTACTAGGAGCCACAAATATAAGTAGATCTCGAAGAGCAGCTATTAACTATCTATTCTGTTAATTTCACCAACTGATCAAAGCGCTTACAACCTAACTATTCTAACTGGTTCCAATGTTGCGACGATAAGTCCGTACCATATGGAAGAATTACTCGAGAAAACTTGCTCCATTCCCGAGAGTGTTTTCTCATTTTCAGATACAAAAGCCGATAATTATCATTAGCAACAGAAGCATCGCTGTCAGTTCAGTCATTTCAGGCAAATTTACACATCACCGCAATGGGGAATAGAAATATGGAAATTCGAAAAAGTGGCAAGCATACTGAAAAGGTTCATTGAGTTTCCTTACATAAATTCCGTATATATTTCAAGGCCATACTAAGACATCTCTCCGATCACTTTCATCATTGGCATCCGATCATCATTATGAATCTATGATTTATTTCTCGAACGTTTTATTGCGGAGGGGGAGCAAAGAGGGATTCAGAAATAAAGGACCGACCAGTTTCCTCCTCACCAGTTTTAAACCGAGAGTGTTAATTGAAACATCCATGTGTCCTTGTTCAGTGTGGATTTACAAATTCGTATTAGCAACCCTTTGACGTTGAATGTTGAAAATTGAGATCAATGAGTGCTTTCGAAACATGTACATTGCACGATATGAATCATATTGAAATGTGCACTGTATATGACTTTCCAAAATCGATTACAACTTTCTCCTTCCTCGGATAATTCTCAACTTTTCTTATATGACAGTTTGAGGAGCGTTTGTTATATGTGGATTTGCTCTGACAGCGCTTGGAAATGTGAAAGATTCGATGTCTTTGTTGCGTTATTAAGATGGGAGACACATAGAAAGAGCTCACGAACATTGAACGCTTTAAACTTATGTGTAAATGACGAAGGAAACTTCTCTATACTACAAAATGGATGGAACATAACTGAAAGTGACAATCGAAAATTAAAATGGCCACCAAATTTGTTGGGCATAATAAAACAGCACTGAGCTTTGTTTTAACGGATCTCTTTTTCATTCGCGTGCATGTTCACTTATTGGAATTCAAATACGGTAATCAAAATATGCAACTTTAAGACAAAAGAAGCAACAAGTCGGGAAGGACAAAATATGACAAGCAACAATAGAATAAACAGAAACTTCTCCTTATTTCTTGTGGTATTTCACTTTTCTTGCATAAGCTGGGATGTTATTTCTGTTCTCGAGAAGATGCATTACTCCCTAACTTCCAGAGATCTCAGCATTTTGGATGGCGAGTATGCAGGTCAATGGGATGAACACACTGCCGATTGCAGAGCACTACTGGCATATAAATACCTCCTACCTCTACGCGACATGCCGAAGTAAACCGATTCCAACTACGACATAACAGATTTGAATGGTTGAGAAGCGTACTCAATTCAATTCTAATTACTTAATGATATATAGGTATCGTTTTATGTTCGCAGTAACTAAAAATATAGAAAGCGATGATCTCTTAACGCAATTGACATCAATGAAGATGTCTTCACTACTTGGTATTTCGTGAAAACATTCTTTATACATATAAAGCTCTGACAAGTTTTGTAAAAGAGTAAGGATGAGCGATGATAAAGTTGGATTGATGAGTCCCGTCATGGATAAAATGAAGTGTAATTGAAGTATAGCTGCATTATAGCAGTATTGAGGGGCAAAACGCTAAAAGTTCTGTCATTATTCATCTTAGGCGTTTCATCAAATTTACTGATCAACTCAATCTTTCGCTCTCAATAGCCAAACATAGAACGGTTTGATAAGTTGTTTATTTTTGTGTCAACAAGTAAAACAATATTTGGGAAGAAGCAAAAAGTTTATGAAAAAAAAGCAGAAGAAGTACTGCGATCACAGTTTCAAAGCAGCCGAAAAAATTGAAATATAAACAGACAAAAGAATAATTCTATCCACAGTCCGGTATGTCTCTTCTCCATTATGAAACCTTACGATATAATTTTTTTCAAAACTAGAAAAAAATGTTTCCATAATAAGAGAAAGGATGAAAGGGAAGATACATAACATACAATTCTTCGTAAGAAATAACACTAATTTTAACGCCTTTCTAGTGGTTCGGTGCTACCTGAAAAATAACACGCATAAAACTTCATAAGATCTTCCAAGTTACATATATAAAAATTGTTTATAATGATCTCTCTAAGAGTTATAGACAAACATCGGAAACTTTGTTACTCGAAAAGGAAATATCAGCATATAACGAGATGTAAAACGATGTATATTATTTCAACTATATCGCATTTGATCAAAACGATGAAATTATTAGTATCTAAGTTATAAAAACATAAGACTAATCTAGGGAGCCAAATCTCTCCAATTATTCAAAAAACGAACTTTTTGGTCGTGGCATTGGTTTTTTGATCATTGGACCCGGAGGCGGGACACCCGAAAGAAGTGCCATTTCTGGAGGAGGCGAGCGACCATCATTTGAACCACCGGATGAATAATACAAAGTACCACTTTTGCTATTTTGTTTATTGAGGATTGTATCGGCACAAAAATCTACAGGAGGTACTGGATATCCGGGTATGCCCAAGACTGGTAAATAATCCATATGAAAAGGATGACGACCATGTGAACGTGAACGCATTCTCCTACCTTCCTAAAAGAAAAAAAAATCATTAATATCCAAAAAAGAAAGCAAAATCAATAAAACAAATCAAAAACATCAATAGACGTTATAAGAAAATTATTCTATTCTTGAATCTGAAGAATTTTTTAACTTTCTAACCAATGTGGACTATATTACTTGAATAAACTTCTTTTAAGAAAGAATATTTGCAGACAAATCGACATCATCTATGAATAATCATCCGTGGCATTTTCAACTGACTTTAAAATGAAAAAAACTGGTAAATTAACCAGCCTTTTTATGACGTGGTTGCATACCATCCATGTTTACACCAATATTATGCTCTCGTTCCCTAATACTTCGTCGTTGCTTCGAGCCTCTGTCATGACTGATATTACCATTTTCTGATGTTACATCATTTAACAGAGGATCTATCTTTTTTAACAGTGACGATTCTCCGTGGGATGAAAAAATCTGTAATGAAGCCATAATATACATAAACTGAACTCCCTATGAGCCAATAACTGAACTCTATTTACGAGCCGAAAACAAATCTCTCTTTCATAAAAGTAGAATAAAAGGCAGCTTGAATTGAAAGAAGAGTAGAGGAAGGATAAAAATACATACAGAATTCGGCTAAATCTGTTTTGAATCAGAAATCTCATTTCATCTTTTCCTTCCCTCTTTCCACTCTAATTCTTTTTTTTATTGCCTATTGCTAAAAAAAATTATTCACCAAATAAAAATATCCTCCATTAAACTGCTGTTCGCTACTTCAAAACTTCAATAATCAAAAAGCTCTGTGATTCATTAAATTTTATGTACAACTCAAACCTCTGATCGCTCGTCATTCCATAAAGGTCGTATATGGGGCAATAAAGGTGGCGCATTGTTAAGCGACATACCATAGTCACGATCGGATGATGATGCAGAGATATTCAATACATTAGCATTGTCAAGTAAATTTGATGACGGATTCGACAGATGAACTTGCTCCAATGACTATAATTTCATTCTTCATTTCCAATGATTACAAAACTAGCAAATAAATGAAACTGCAGCTTTAAAAAGATGTATAACAAAATTAGCAGACTAATATTGCTCGTAAATAAAGACGAGTGAAACGATCACAAATTCCAGAAAACCTGTTGCTGAAGAGCTGCTACCGTCTGTTTACACTGACGTATTTCATGAAAACTACGCGTCTCTAACTTTGTATATTCTGCTTTCAAACGTTTCAGTTCTTGCTCAGCTTCCTACAAAAAAGAAAGTTTTAAATTATTAATAAACGACTATTTAAAATCTTTTTGAATTGAAGAACCCATTCGATCTCTTCAAATGCCTCACTTCAAAAAGCATTACACTATATTATTTCTACCAAAAGAATCTTAACCTCTAAAAGGACAAGCCACAAAAAGAGTATATACGATTAACTACTATTAGTTTAATAATAATAAACCATGAAACAAAAAAAAAGTATGATTTTAACCAAAAGTAACTTCTTCATTGTCCTTTTTTTTCAAGGAAACATAATCAAGCAAAACATGTCAACAGCTCAAAAAATTTTACAAAGAAAAAAATTTTAGTTGAATTACCAATAATTTGAACTCCACAGCTTTTTTTTGATCCTCTAATCGTCTTACTTCTTCTTGCCATTTCATCACCTCGTCACGCATCTTTTCTATTAATTCTTCTGTACTTCGTAATTTTGCTTCCTTCAATTGAGTAAAACAGTAAAATAATCGTTTACATACCGTGTTTTAATTCGCTTTTCTTAAAAATTTACTCGTTCTTCGACCATCCCTAAAATTCTTTTAAATTGATTTTGCGCCTCGACTCTTTCTGCTTCTTTTGTGTCCACTTCTTTCAATCGTTTTGCAGCTTCTGCCTCGGCGAACTCAACTTTACGCATCAGATGATCGCGTTCATTTAACTCCTTTTGTAGTGTCAACCTAAACCGTGGCTGCATGAAATGTAGAAAAAATTAGACTGCATCAATAGATAAATCACTCATCCAGCAAAGTATTAAACCTTAGTTAAGGCTACACTCGCAATGTTAAAGGCTATAAAGATAATATAAACATTTCCATAAAACAATTTAGCTATGATCAACCAGCTAATATGTAAATCAGATTTTCCCAAAAATCGGGGAATTAAAAAAAATAGAGGAACTGCGTCATACATGAAAAATTAAACGAAATCTTACATTAGCAGTTGCATACAAGAATGGGAACACTTGAAGACTGTTCTTTCTAGAAGGCCAGATAAAAATGCTATCAAAAAGAAAAAGAATGTTAATCTTATAAGCAAAAGATTGCAGAAAAGGAAGAAGCTACACTCTCTGTCATTCAAAAATATAATGCTTTCCTTATCAGTGAAAATTATAGTTTTCAAGCATACTTTGCTTGATCCAAATCAGCCTCAACAGTCTTTAACTTCACTCTGAGTTTCGCAACTTCCATAATTTCAGCAGGCGAAAATCGTGCAACCATTTTTTGATCTTTTTTTGGTTTTTCTGGTAACTCTGCTGTTGGTGGATTGTCTACATCAAATTCATCAAAATCTGACCAACCGCTTTCACCTAAACAGACTTCATAAACATAAGAAAAAAGCGCAAGTTTTTGAAAATTTTCAGATATTAATGTTTTTTTTTTGCAACTATACTTTCGTGATACTTTTCATATTACATTGGCATCTTGTGTGCCTGCCTCAAACTGTCTCGTTACTTATTCAGTAAGCGAAGGTAAAAAACGTTACTAACTTATAAAGGTTACAGATGATCCGAATACAGAACAACTATACCTAACATAACCAAACAACAATAGAATATGCGCGACGACGATAAACGAACGATAACAAATGATAGGAAGTAGTAATGATAAATGAATAAGTCTTAGAAAGCAATAGAATAAAAATTTTTTAAAATTTCAATCACTACTCTATTATCAATGCCCTCAAAATATTTCAACCTCTCTCTTGAGAATAGCCTTATAATCCCATCAAATGAACACGAAATAAAAAAAAACCGTTTATATCTTCCCGTGTTTGTTCACCATTCTCGACTTCAGCAATTGATGATCTATCACGGATAGCAACATCACCCGAATTACCTATTTCATTTATAATCTCCGACAACTGAACAATCTCATTTTGGAGTTCTTCCACACGCTGGCGCAGTATTTTGCTTTCTGATAAAGATGTCTATAAAAGTATACGCTCAAAAAGTTATTTTCGAAAGTTTATTTTCTGCAGTATAAGTATCGCAAAAATATTAATTCATTTGCGAAGAAGTAACAAACAACTTCGTCAAGCAGCCTCTTGGATCAACTGGAATTGAAATATTTAATAGAAAAAAAAATTATTAATTATGAAAAGAAACACAGTGCACAAATTCTTACCTTCAATTGATCTTTCAAATTTTTAATTTCGAGTGAATATGAATTTGCTTCCGACTCAAGACGTATTAATTGTGCGCTTTTTTTGGCAACTTCACTAACTAAACGTTCATTCTCTTCATGCAACACTTCCATGGTAGCATGTATTTCAAATGATTGTTTCGTTAGCAACTAAAACTATATTTCTTTAAAATGTACTGCTTGATAAATAAAAATCAGAATTGATTGAATTATAAGCTTTTCAGTTTATTTTAGTGACAGGTTTCTAAGTCTCTTATCCTCATTTGCAAATGATAAAAGAAAAATCACTTCCAAGTTCCAAAACATGTGTTACAATGCACATAACTTTAAAATTATGCTTATTTAATTTCTATTCAATGGCAAACATCATTGGCAATATAATCTACTTAAGCATAAAGCAAAAAAAAGAAAACCTCATTTTTCTCCCCAAGATTCCTATTTTGGTCCATTAAATTTTTGCATTTCAAACGTTCATTTTCAACCATTTGACTCGTCTCATCCATTTCTGCTTTCAGATTATCATTTTCTTCCTCAAGCATACGGCACCTATAAGAGTGTGAATGTTAGAGTTTGTTTTACACAATAAAATTCTGAAAGCCAAGCCACACCAACGATATTTTAAAATAGAAAAATGCAAAAAGGAAAAAAGCAAACTTGGCTTTCAACTGGCTTATTTCCGACTGTAAATTTTTGAATTTCTCATCCATTTCGGTATTCCATGTATTTTTCCCTTTCTCCATTTCAGCATGCAATGACTAAAACATCACCCGATTAAAAAAATTGAAGAAAACTCTGTCTCTATACTTTAAAATGACTCCATAATTTCTATCTGTGGTAAAACCATGAAAACAGTTTGGTACTTCAATAAACAAACAATTTGATGTGGCCAATATTGTTGTACTAATAAAAAAAAAACAACATTTTCATAGGTTCTCAAACGCTCTGCAATCAAATGTTGCTTTGGAAAAAATAAGCACATCAATTTACCATTATTTGAATTTCACGTTGTCTAATAGTCGTCAATGCATTATGTAGTATTCTTCGATCAAAATGATCCCTGTCACAAGTATCCGCAAAAACTAGCATTCGTAATAAATGAATAAACAAACAGAGAGGAACGAAAAATGTCACCAAAACTCCTAAAAAGAGCAGTGTTCTTATATCTCACAAAAAATGAGAAAATAAGATGAATACGATTTGACAAATGTTTTTGTGAAAGGCATATCAAAAAGATGAAATACTTAAATTTATAGATCCCAATAAATCAACAAAACAAGACTATGCCTTAATGAATGAAAACTGAAAATGTAGAACAAAGGGTCGACATCATAAATAAAACTTAGGATAACACAAACAGCACCTGCATCGTCAAAATTATTTATTGATGACGGTAGCATAAATCGTGCAATATCAATCAATTTGCTGAGCCATTTCCTAATTATAAACAAATGTTCTGTTCCCAACTTCTCATCAGCTCTAGGAGTGTTGTAAACACTATCACACTCATCTTTCACGCAGTAGTCCTGTAAAAGGAGAAAATAGTATCAAACATCATTTAAACAAGTAACTAGACACTACAATCTAATTTCAAATCTGCATCACTTCATTCTTTATCACAAGATAACTGATAAAAATACACATAGAATTGTCCGAGCTGTCAACAATAATCAATATCCTCTTTCTTTAAGATCTAATCAATCACTTTCCCTTCCATAATGCGTCTTACACTTTTAATGGAGAAATATCCGTCGCACTTAGCAGCCAATGAGGATATATACTACAATACATCTATCTTTTTAATCTAAATATTCTCTTTTGTTATAATGTTTCTTCCACACAAAGCTTTGTTAAAAATAAGAGTGAGCATTTTGTAACAGGATTTTCGGACATTTCAGAATAAAGAAGTCAGAAAACAAAGACGCTCCTAAACATTTCAAGAGTACGAAATATATGCGGTCAAATAAAACAGCATAAAATTAAAACTAAAACAATGCATTTGTTAAAAAATGCATGGTGTCGCCCCAAAGAAACTTTTACCATTACGTATTTCAGCTAATTCGCACACAGATATGGCTAAGTTTTCAGTATAGATATTAACAACTGCTAACCCAAATTGACATACCTTTTCATCATATAAAATACTTTCGGTTGCTGATGGATTTACGGCATAGGAAAGTATCGAGTCTTTTGACTGTATAGAAGTAGATGGAAATGGTGGTGGTTCAAGCGGATAGTTAACTGTCGTTGTTTCTACATCTTTTCCTCTTGATTCCAATTCCATTTCCACTGTAGAACCAAATTCAGACAGTAATGTAACCGGATCAAACTGAGGAGTAATAAAAGTGGATGTTATTGGTTCAGTATGAGGAGAAACTGACACAGGTAAAATGTCGCGATCCTTGAGGATCGTTGCAGTATTATCTGAGGGTGATTTTTCCGGTTTAATATGTTTTGGTGGCAAGGGAGATGATGGCGCTGATGACAAATAAACAGAATCTGAATGCGCGCTATTTACTAATATTGGTGGTGTCACATCTGATATTACTACCGAAGGAGAGGGAGTTGATGGAGAGTCACCGGTCTGAGAAGAAATATTTGATAAGGATACATTAACTGATGAGGCAGAGAAATTGATTTGTGATATATTATCCAGTGTGGGAGGGAGACTGGAATCGAGAACTGCAACTGGTGAAGGAATGGTCATAACCTGCTGGGGAGGTAATTCGATATTAACTTGCTGCACGGACATCGACTGAAGAGGTTGATTGTGCAACAAATTCTGAGCATTCACATTCACAATGTTTGCGGTCAATGGTGTTTTTTCTTGCGATGATTCGATTTGTGGAAGACTGCTTTCTGCCGCAAGGTTGATATCAGTTGTAACAGATGGAGGTATATTTTTCGATGTACCTTCCATAGCTGATGAAAGCCCATCATGCATCACTGATTCAGAAGTGACTTTTCCCGAATCTGGCAGCAAAATAGGAGAGACAGATCCATGCATTAAATTTTGTTGTGTAGGAATCTCTGACACGGCTCTGAATTCAGATTCGAGAAGAGGCATCTAGAATAACATATAAATAAATGTGCGTGTTAAATCTAACTTATTACATGGTAAACAGATTTCCGAAGGTTACAAAAAGTTCAGCCATTCACAGGCAAATAAACCATGTAGGTCCTGAACCTCCTGCTGGTAGACTGAAGTGACCGTCCCAATAGATGCCTCCTGTGGTTCTTTCATTGCTACATTTACTGCCGGAACTGTCTGAAACATGTGTTTCAATACTATTAGTAAAGTAATCAAACATTTTACACATTTCTTCAAGATAATAATGTAGTAGTAGCAATTATGCCACTGCAATTGTGAAAGTTTCAAAAATTAACGAAGATGCTAAAAAAATCTGTGACATGAGACCAGAAGCTCACTTTAGAGAACTTATATAAGACCACTTTCGATACACAATTTCATCATAGGACACTTTAAATTATTTCATGAAAGTAGTGAAATGTCTTGTCACAAATAGTACCTATATGCACAAAAAATAGTAATGCACTCTTGATGTTTACAAGCTGCTTTTAATCAAAGTTTATGGCTTTCTTGTGAATCGACATTCTAAAAGACAAGGAACAATCAAACAATGGAAAAAATATACCGTTGCTTCAGAAGAAAGAATAATGGGTTGACTTGTATGTTGCACAATTCGGATATGTTCGTGTGAATCGGTGTGAACACCACGATCATGATAATGTTCGTGATCATGAGGAAGTCCGTGATCAAAAGAATTCCCTTAATGAATTCGAGAATATTAATAATGAAAATAGTCCGATCAAGAAAAAAACTACTAGTTATCAGCCACAGATGTCTTTAAATATCTGTAGGTCAACTTCCAATTAAAAACGAACATTAAGCTAGGAAATACTATTCAATTTTTGGAAAATTTAGATCGTAAAATTTGAATTACAATAAGTTAAAATCCAAAAATTATAGGATTACTCAATCTATCCTATAAAGTTAAAATCCAAATATATTTTATTCATCAATTCAGCACCAAATTTAAACCATTAAATTCAATAAGAAAACCTTCAGTGTTAGAAAAATAACCCAATGCAGCATAGTCGATTTGTTCTGCTGATAACTGTCTTTCGACAGAAAGACGTTTAGCATTCACTTCATAATCTTTAATTAATTCTGGTAATGCTGCTTTGATACCTTAAAACTTTTCCAATAAAAATAAGATCGACAAGATAATATGCCTTAGAACATTCGAAGCGATATACCAGAGTCTTCCCATAAGAGCAACAATAAGATCAAGCTTAAATGATGCAAAAGGTTAAGAAATTATTTTTACCGACTAATCTGTGAGAAGGATGATCGCGCGGATCTCTACTGACCATAAACATCGTTTTATTGGATGCAAGCGCATTTTTTAGAAATTTCACGTAATCATCGAGATTAATATGCATTGAAAAAAAATTTCCTTTCCTTGTCGGTTCACGGAGAAGCTACAAACAGAAAAATATAAAAACTACAGTGGCAAACTGTTTTAAAAAACCAGATAATACACTATTATCTAATGATTGGAAGTTGCGGTAGAAGCACCGCCCATAAACTACGGAACAAACAAACGCTTACCGCGCCTTCCATTAAATCCGTTCGATCACTGAATTTAATTGCATAGACACTGACAATATCGTTTTCATTAGGAGATAGGAATGACTCGTGAGTAGCTAAGGATGAACGGTGGAACTTCCCTTCGAACAGTTTTTCTAAATTTCAAAATCAAAATAAGGGAAAAATTGAAAAGAAACTAAAACTGACATTGAAATTACAAAAAAAAATTCAGTAAGTTGTCAACATAATGCTGGCAAAATTAGTAATAACAAGAGGACAAATTATGCTAATAATCTTTTCAGCAATTATCAGTAAAAAAAGGATAAAACGATGAAAAGCTATCCTTAACAACTAGCAAATCTATTATGGTGCATTAATACCATACGTGAGAATATATTAGCCAATTTTCCTGACAAAGACAAAAGATTATCTAAATCTCGAAATTTCTTTGTCGCAACAGACAATCGAATTCTGCCCACTCAAAAAATCAGTCTTTTCGGAGCTCGAAAAAGTTATACCTGAACAGGCTTCATCGCCACATAATTTTGTTTTTTTTGCGATTGATCCTAACGATGAAATTAATGGTAAAAACACTGCTAACCACACAATTACCTAAATAAAATGGTCAATATTACTTTCTTGAATTATTGATGACATTTTTTCAAAAAGTATACTTCAAAGGAAAAAAAGAACATTACTTGCCATACAAAACGAAAATTAATAAAACTTGGCAAAAATATAATCATTTCACAAAAAGTGATTTTGTAGAAAAAGGTTTTCTTTTTTCTCTTCTTTGATAGGCGGGACAATCAGTGGCCGTCAATATTCTGGAAAACCTATAGAGCAGTTCTAGCAAAAATAGCAAAACAGACATTTTGAGCCTACAAAAAATGATGTCCTCCAAAGAGCAATTCTGCAGGGAAATTAAAAATTAACTAACATCAATAGTAACAAGATGAACGACAACCATTATCGTCAATACAATTGTGTAGTGTCAAACTGAGAAATAAAACTTAAGAGAAAGTAGATGAATACAGAGAATGGGCTCCTTTCGTTTTCAAATCTCCGAACACATCCTTTACCAGGTCCTAAATGTCATCTGGATTAAATTTAAAAATTTGCAATTTGACAAAGCAATTCGAAATATAAGGTTGGATTTAAATTCCTTTTACCATTAATAGTAAAATCTGTTAAAAAAATTCAACTAAATCATCATCAGATCTCAGAGGATCTTAGAGGCCAGCGAATTTGTAGATTGCACAAATTCTCTTCATGCATTTCCTCTATCAATAGCGGAAGTTGATAATGGAATAAATTAAAGTGCACGACACTACATTACTACGAGAAGCCTAAAGCTCAAATTCAAATTCGAACTGAAATTCAGCCTGATATCATTTCCGACTGGAAACGTCAACATTTATTATGGAGCAACCGGAAATGGCACACCGAGATTATACACATTATCCGATTTCTGATTTACACCTTAGACAAATTAGTTGAAGAAATAAGGTCTCTAATGCTCTAATGTTAAGCCATTATTTTGAAATAATATTCTTTAGAAAATCAAAGCACTATACCAGCACCTGCCTTTTTTCCTTCCTTCTCCTCTTGGAAACACCGAATATTGGGAAGAAATAAGAAACAGCGGGGAGAAGGACGGAGCGCTCAAACACACACCACAAGGCACACTATCCCGACAGTTCACCAACAAGTGAATGTCGACGTGTTCCAACCACCTCGCGTTACGCTACTCTTGGTCGGCACTTCATGAAAATCTTTATTTCAGCAACCTGTTCAAATAATCACATTACTCTATAAGAAGAGCTTAAATTTCGATGTCGTCTTCTCTCTCTCTCTCTCTTATTTATGTGATAAAGCATTTGGGTTTCAAGCCACTCAGTCTGAGACTGGGGAGAATTTTGCATAAGTTTAAACTGCAAAACTTTTTTGGTATTTTTTTTGCTCTCTCTATCTCTCTATATTGAATTGGTCAAATCAAAGATATGCAGCACTGATGAAGCTGGAAGTAAGTGAAGAAATGCGAAGGGTAGGTCGAGATCAAGATTTCTGTGTAGTTGCTCGATACAGATTGCCAACTACATTTAATCATAGTACCAAATCGTATTTGAAGTCACTGTGTCCTTTGTTGATCGCAGATTGCTCGCTAATGCAACTGCGACCACAGATTGCACTGATGGTTGGTTTTACGTAAGTGCATGAATTTTGATACTGCGTGCTATTTTGTAATTCTACGATTATTTTCTGACCGCTCTAACCCCGAAAAAGGAAATTTCCTGGGGAAAAAAGCTTCAGCTGTCTCTTGCTGCACTGCCATCTGCTCTGAGCATCTGCTTTTCTGTCGCGAACTCTTTGTGTCACCATAGCAATTCATTGAGTCATTAGCATAGTCGAATGAATGCCAACATTTCCAACAAAAGAGGAAGACATGTAGATATTGTCACCACAGTATCAATGATGAGTAAAGGAGAAGCTTATTTGTGAAGCACATTTTGAGAGAGTAATTTCATTTTCCGAACTTCTTTCTGAAAATGACTCAGTCATCCATTTTGCTCTTTTCCACTGGAATTTCATTTCAATTTACCGTTGTGGAAGGAAAGTACTCCCTTAAATGAAGTATATTGGCAGCACAGATGATGCCTTCACACTTCATTCCTTTTGCTTCCTTCCCAAAGCTCCTTTTCACGGATATCGAACTACTGAAATACAATCTGTCAAGTCGTCCAACATTTCCGCACATCTATCGTTTGATGATAGTACACTCGGTTTAATGCGATCTTTTTTGAAGTCTCTGCATTGCAAGTTATCATCCTGCAGTCACTGCGACAATATTAATATTACACATTGTAGGCCTAAAAATAAGGGCACACCTTTAACTCATATACTGTTTAATTTGACTGGGTATAATTTCAAAAACTTATTTTTTGCTTCCATTTAATTTTTTTTTGGTCTTTATGCGTTTCCTCTTTATGCGCTCCTTAACCGTGGGTAATCGTAATCTTATACTATTGATTACCAATGATTACTGCAGAGATTGCTGTTTATGACGCATTAGAATCTGAGAAAGGAATTGGTGGATTAATCTTTCTCGCTCATTCTCAATCGAATTCACAATCGTTTAAAGCATGCAAAATTTCGATTCTTCGGTGTTTGTTGAATTCTAGTTCCGTTCTTATGGATGCTGTCGAAATGGGTGGGAAAAAGGAGAAGGAATTGATAACGACTCTTTTCTTACTTCAACATCATCTTAAAAAATTAGCCAGATTACCGCCGCATGTACATTGGTTTTTAATTTATGTATGCCATCCTTTGCGAACATGAATCATTTCCACTCGGGCATCTTGGATGATTCATGAATTTTGATTGGCTTGCTAGGACTAGGATCCGAGCTTGGAAAGTAATTTCAAAGAAACAAAAACCCACATTCCAGCACAATTCATCACAAATTCTTGTTCTTAGTTCGTATTCCGTCAAACTTTTTTGAATTAAAAAATTCGTGAATTCAACGCGTCTTATTTTCATAAATTGCTAGAGCCAACAGTAGTATTGCAGCAACGTTAATTTACATATTTGAAAGGGCAGTTTTTGTTCATATTAAAATAAGTAATATTTTGAAAGATGCTTGTTCTTAATTTTCAATACAATGAAAAAAGATTCCATACTGAGATATGCTCTATTCATTGCCTTATCCTAGAAGCTATGGTTAAGCCTGAACTCCTAATTGGCTCATTATGACTGTTTAGCTAAGAAAAGGTAAGAAGACATTGTGACACATTCCTAAATATTGTATGATTTTTCTATCAAATAATGACAGCAATAGTTTTAACAGTGTTCCTTATTATGGTTTATTGCATGTAATGCTTCTCCTTCCTCTTACAGAAACATTCAGAAAATCCTTCCGTCACAGAACAGATTACAAAGATGGTCTCTTACAGTTGCGGATGATGAAGAGAAATTCCTGAATGATAGCTTCCCGTTGATTCCAATATTTTTAGATGGTTGTTGATAGAAGGACATAAAGTCTACTCGTTCTTAAATATCACGAATTATTCCAGATAAGCCAAGGCGTTAATGATATGCTTCTTGGCCATTTTTATTTTACTGCCTTGTCTCAACCCGTGTGCTTCACATGCTATCGATATTTCGATGATCTTGGAAATTTTTTAAATTATATACCTTCGTTTGAAAGAGAGACTAATCTGGTCAAAAATTATGTCAGAACAGAGGACAGAAATTGGCAATTGAGAGCTCGAAAAAATTTTGAATACCATATGTTCAGTCATCTCATTGACTGTTCAAACTGAATGTATGATGTGTAGAAAAAAATAGTTATACTTCAAAGTGCAAAATAAAATATCACTTTCGAACACGCAGATGAATACATCGGAGATGTCACGGACTGAACTGCACCAAATAGAATCTGTTCTCTGATCCTTTCCGGAGCATCTCGAATGATTTCATCCAAGCATTAAAGTTGTTAAAATCTTTTTTTCAAAATATATAAATTCAGTAAGCATTGATTTTTCGTGAGGAGTACAAAATGATGGCAAACACTTCAAATGGCATTATGAATATTTTTCCACTGAAAGATAAACGTGATGGGTCTTTCAGAGTTTGAATCAAACTAATTTGGCATATGCAAAAGTTGCTTAATTTATGAGCCATTTTCTGGTTCCCTCTATTATGACATCCACTGAAAGTGGACAGTGGAATATTAGTTTAGTGTGATAATTAAGAGAAGCACACGTTTCCCTGCTAAAGCTGAGTTGCAGCTTTCGAAGGGATCGTTTTAAGTACAAATTACAAAAGGCCCCTTGTACAAACATTCTTATCACGTTTGCCATCCAATAAAACGTACTTATGGATTGACAGCTTTCAAGAGCGTCAATGATTTCTGTATGCTGTTGGTTACTGTTGAAGGACCGAAATCATTTTATGAAAATTGACTCAACTTTAACTCCTCAAGCCTAAATACTTTTCAACTCACTGACTAACAGTACGGCCTACTATTACAAGGGGGCATTTTTCGGAATAGCTGGAAGAAACAAAGCAGAGACTGTCTGCATGCTGCGTTATGTGACCAATGAGATTGAGGACGAAAAAGACATGGCTGGGACCGATTTAAATTAAGGCTGAACTCGCTTCTCAAGAACATGAACATGAACAAGTCGTTGGAGATATTAAGGCACAAGACTGAAACTTCTTCCAGTACGTTATCAGAGGAGATGTTGGACCAACCACTTCTGTGGCTAACAGAAAGAAATTCATTTCTGCTTTTGCATATCAGACGTCTTTCTACGAGTTATCTGATACAGATCTTCTGACTGTTAAAAATAAAGGTGAAATACATACGACATTTGGTGCAATCATTGATAATGTTTGTTTACTCGCAAGTGTGCGGTAGTAGTTCTTATCAGCAACAATATTCCGTCCTGGGTGATGCTGACAATGCGTTACCACGACCGTTTGCTTCTGTCCGATTGATTACTTCAATTTATGATCAAAAATTACTTTCTAGCTGAAATAGAAAATTTTTCATGATTTTTTTTGCTATTTAAAAGAATAAATCAGCAATATCGAAGGCACTGTCCCATAATAAGTTTTTCATTTTTCGTGGAGGTAAAAATTTTTTAACTTATTGCCGCTATGAAGGAATTTCACCCATTATGCTAATATCCTGGCGGCAGTGTTTTGTTTCCAACTTAGAACAAAGATTAACAGGTTATTGTCATCCTATCCGATTGATTGTTTTGATTATTCAAATGTAAGTTGTGAAATTTTTTCAGCAGTATAATGGGTGCTAATCGTTTAATATTTTTTCTGTGCTTGTATCGAACAGTTCCATGCATGGATGTTGCAAAGAATAATGGTAATGATGGAGAAGCAGCAAGTGAAAATCGTACAAATGTGGGAAATGTAAGTTTCCAAGAGTAGGCCCAGGCCAATAACGTACTACCTTAACAACTCTTATCATTATAGCCGTTGAAGACTCAGTAAAAGAAAAAACCAAAAAATTTTTTATTAAAATTAGTACAATTTTAGCATGATAACAAAGAAAGAAACACTGATGACTGGGATATCGGACTGAAATATCTCGATTCACTGGTGCAAAAAACAATCGATAACGTTTCCGCCATTAGTGACGTGAGAGGACAAGAGCAGAGACAGCAATATATTGCAGATCTTCGTGACAAATATGCAAGTATCGTTGATCAGTCCACCAAAAAAATCATCTTGCAGGAAGAAAGTAATTGTAAAGCAGCGAATGCAGCAATGAAGCAAAATTGAGTGGAAAAGTGAATGATCGCTACTTCCCTTCAACAATATCTGTTTTCAGGAGCAATTCAGGAATGTACTCAAAGCTCAAGCAATAAACGGTGGCAATTTGATGACATTATTTCAGAGACATCAATATGAGGACAGAAATGTCACCTGCGGTATGATGAAAACTGTGAGAAAGGAAAGGAGTGAGAGTGCAGGACATATGACTAGAAGTATTTTTCAGGTGAACAGAATTGCTTCAGTAATGATTCCCGGGGAAAGGAAAGACCGGAGGAGAGAAGATTTAATCGGACGATCGCGTGGTTCAGACATACCGCACTGAGACGACTTCTCTTGAATGCGGCCACCAAATGCATCTTCAACGGCACTGAAATCCCGATAAACGTTGAACGACGAGCAAACGATCTCTACCTCTGGGCTGTTATTCCACAGCAAGGCCACAATTCATCAAATGATTTAAAATTAATGAACAGAAATAGGGAATTTTCGAACACACAGCATTGAAGTGATGGACTAAGAGAAAAAACAGATTGAAACCGCAATGTCGGATACAGACTTCTGAGGGGGAGTCACGTCACAATGCACCTATTTTCTAGTCAGTTTTCATCGGCACCCGTACCTCTTCGCTTAGGAAGGCGTAATCTGTTAGGAATCAACTTTTGCACATAAAAAAACACATTAATTTCAGTCTTACCGATTAAGTCATGCCAAGACGTGATATGTCCAAGTGTGACAGCCTCGCGCAATTACAAAACCGAAAGAGAAAAGCTTGAAGATTGTAGTAAATGGATGACTGCGACCCAAGGTAAGTGATGAAAAATGATTGAAGCCAAGTGAAGACTGCTTTTTGAGTCAATATTAGATTAGAACAGCTTAAACTTTGCTCAGAAATCAATTTTTCAGTTTCCCCCATCGCCTTATCGAATGTAGCAGAAATTCCGGCTTGGTGGAATGGTGTTTGGTTCTGGACGATTCACCTCATTGCACTGATATTGCTCCTCATCTTTGCCTTGTCATGCTGCATTTGGCATTGCGGTAGTAACAACAAACGTCCCAACTATATCAGAATCTGATACCTCACCTCTGCTCTCTTCGTAAATATACATTGTTTGATGAAAAATCTTCGGCCAAAATGTGGGCAGTTCAATTCGGGAAGCACATTTTAATCCTGCTTCAGGTTAATAAACTTAAATGGTGTTAAAATTAGCATTTTCGCAGTTTGCAGTATCGATCAATTATAGGAACATTTTATATGCGATTTGCTTTTGACTTTTAATGTTGTTTGCCAAATAAAGTACTTCCCATGATTGAATCGAACCAAAAATAAACTTTATATAATGATTTAAGCCAATTCGAGTTATTCGATTAGAACGACTTAATGTTTGCTCAAAAAAAACTATTCTTGAGCGATCATGGAGCTGCTGACTGAAAAAGTACTGCGAGCATCTTCATGAGATGCCTTCAAATTACGCCCTTTCCAGCTAAATGTCATGAAGTTCTGGTTTTGCACTATTCTCTGATCGCATAGTTCGATTCCTTGAAATTGCAGCAGGTTGATCTTCCCTCAAAGACCAGCAATGATTGAGAAGAAAAATGTTTTGTACCTGAGGATAAAGTTGTAAGAGGAGAGGACGAGAAAGGAGTTGAGATGAAATGAGGCCTGCAAATGACCTCGAAAATAGAGTTATTTTAGCAATGGGAAAGAAATTAATTTATATTTCAGTGGTACTGAGGAAGTGTCTCTTCAATCAGAAGGAGTTATTTCTGAAGTTGTCGTTCCGTGAGTTACTCCTAATTTCTTTCTTGCGAAGAGAGAAACGACGCGACCGCCTTCGCATACATCTCTGGGAAGTCTCAGGGAATCAATCGTATTATCAATTTATTCTTTTCTACACATGCAAAATGATCGCTCGAAATTTTCATATTTACAAATAAATCATCACTGAACTAAACTGAGAAAAGGAAGTTAAACAATTTTAAACGGAATACTGAAAGTAATGAGGCGTTCTACAATTCAAATCATTGATCAGTCTGTTAGATTGGGACATCGAGTGAGAAATGAAGAAGGCACAGATCACAGCGCTTAATTCGTATTCAATTTTCTCTCCTCACTTAGAGGTAAGTAAGTGTTCCATTAAAAGATCCAAAGGTTTCGGAAAATATAAACAAGGTCATTTTAACAAAATATGCTTGTAAAATGAAAAACCGGCATCTAAGATGCATTCAATAAAGTCACCGGTTGCAAGCTAACAAAACACAAATACTGTCAAAATTATTCATAAATGATTAACATGAATTATGTAGTAAACCTGTACGCCTATCAATTAATTCTAACACGTGGTAGGTTTTTTGATACCACGTGATGAGTTACTTCACTGGTATTAGGCGGATAGCCTCGTCCAAACATCCAACTGTTGAAAGACTGGCTGAGAAAAGTAGAATTCTAAAAGAGTTACTCAATGTAATTACAATAAGAAAATGCAATTTCAAGCATGAGATGGAATGAGTATCGTAGAGAAAAGAAAAGTAATTTTACTCAAAGTTCAACTGAGACAGAAGGCTGTCCCGATGACCTCAGCTACACCCTTAGTTCCGCAGCAATCTCTCTCTTCCAATCCTCCAATGGATTACAGTGCACCGATCTGTCTGCACTTAAGGAAAGCTTCGAAGTGCAAGACAAGATGCTAATATCACAAGCGAGTTATGTTTGTTACGATCTATGAGTGGGAGGGTTGAGTTGAGATAAAGTCAAGAGTTGGACAGGAACCAATAACCAAAGATCATAAACGTTTCGAAAAATTTCTTGGACAGCTCTATTTTTTCGAATCGTCTTTTGGATTCGTCAAATTAACCGGTGATTTTGTAGTGCCAGTTATAGCTGCACCACTAGTCATCAGTGATCCAAATACATGCTGAGTTTCGAACCATGAACCTCCGCTTCCGGCAGTAGCACCAACCAACGGTGATGCAGTAGCAGCGGTTCCGGGCCATATTCCTGAATACTGTTTGGAGAGATTTTCCATAGCAATCATCCGCTGCAAATGCTGCATGTAATTGGCAGCTGCAAGCTGTTGCTGATAACCGCTAAGCACAAAGGAAGTCAGATCGGTTCCAGCAGTTGCTGCAGCAGCAGCAGCAGCAGCATCATTGGTGGTAGTTATTGCTGGAACAAATGTAGGCAACTTGGTTAAGGAGATCGCTGAATTGATGCTTCCCATTGGTTTTGAGCGTTCAACTTCCGGACTTGCAGAGGATGCAATCGTGCTTACCGGAGTTGATGTACTGCAAAAAATCGTCTTTATTACACGCATCTGCAGTGGTCAGATGGAGTCAAAGAAAAACTGAAAAGACCGATGTTGCTGAGCTCGGACCAACCGGTTGTAACCGTTGCAACCGATTGACCGACTCCGATTACTGTTAACACAACTTTCTACAATTATTTCTTTCCATTACCTGGCTCCATCCGAATTCGTCGTATTCGGTTCGTTATTTATAGCAGCAGTGGTCACAGTCGGAGATGAATGGCGAAGCGGTTCGGTGACATCTTTCAGTGGAGTGGGCGTCAAAGTGGAAGCATTCAGGAGAGCCGGTGTTGTCGACATGAATGCCGCTGCAGCCGGATTCATCATCGATTCTGCAACCTTATTGCGATAGGCCTGATTCTCTAATTGAACTGTACAATATCGGTCCTCATTCATTATTTCTTGGGCTGGATGAATTCAACAAACCTATTGCTTGGTGCTGTGCGCTCATCGCAGCCATGATTGCGGCCGTGTCGGCGCTGCTTTCAGCAGACTGTTGTGCAGCAGCTGCAGCAAGAAGCGCATACGGATGTGGCTGCATGAGAGGGTGCGAGGTTCGTGGAACGTGGTGCGGAGTTGCGTGTCCGTAAGGGTGCACTGCAGAAGTTCTCTCCTGCTTCCTCCATTTCGCTCGACGGTTTTGGAACCAAACCTGAAATAAATAAACAGCATGTCCTTTTTCTCAGTTCAAGGTCCGTTTTTCAGTGGAAATTATGAACAGAATTAAGCACAAATTTCAGATCTAACTAGTATTTCATGTTACTTTAAGAAAGAAGAAAACTCTCGCTTTTTACCTGAACTCTTGCTTCCGTAAGAATAACTCTTTGTGCTAATTCTTCTCTGAAAAAAGTATCTGTAAATTTCTAAAGTCTATAAATGTGTGTGACAGAATGGAAGAGGAATTCTGATCACAAAATTTTATTAGGAATTCTAATTTTTTTTAAACTGGCATTAGTAAAATTAAAATTGAAGAATGGTAAGCTAGCGATATGCTACTTTTCTCACTCCGCATTTCAATACGTAGTAAATGCTTCATTCATGTCAACAGTAGCAGAAAAGATTGTTGATTGGAAGTGTTGGAGAGAATGAACAGCTGTAGAGAGTGACAGGTGTTTTGCAAGTCCCTTTAATTAGAAAATTAATCGTTATCAACGTAACCAAAAAATGCGAGGATAAATGGAAATCGTGGAAGGAGAAGGGAATTGTTGTTAAGTGTTTCCCACCCGGGGGTTTCTGTCGTAATGCACTAATTTGTTGTAATTATGCGCTTATCTCATTTGTCGGTATTTCTCTCTTTGAATTCATTTAAACTAATGACTACCTTCTACGTTTATTGTATCAGCAATAAGTATGAGGAAATTGGATGCCTGCAGTAGAACTGAACTGCAGATGTTTTGCTAAAGAGGAAGATTTTATCAGCTTTCCAAATCATCAGATCAACCAGCCATTTGTGGTTTTCATCCTTCCACCAAGATGGTAGGAGAAGCAACCATGCAACCCAAAATTAATTCATAATCTTGCTGGATATTATGTTAAGAAAGGTAGTGTGCTGAGAACAGAAATACCTGGTGAAAACATCCGGATAGTGCGTCCTTGCAAATACCTTTTCCAGTTCGTCTAACTGATAGGCAGAAAATGTCGTCCGATATCGGCGTTGTTTCCGCTTCCCGTTATCTTCAGGACTGTTGGAACATGAGGATGGTCGATCAGTGATGCCCAATAAGTCCTAAGAAATGCAATCCAATGATATCTGATGAGGATGAGTGCTATCCTTGATGGTTTCCCACTTACTCAGGTTTAGTTATTAATGACTATTTAATTGCTTACCTACTGACTACTTTCTCATTAATGCTTAATTATTAAAGGCCACTTAATTAATTACTTATTGGTAGTTTTTCCTTCACACTGATTAATTATTAATGGCTGTTTACATCTTCAGGCTGTAATTACTTTCATTTCTTGCTTCACAGCTTATGCTCATTTTAGGAACATGTATCTATCAAAATATCGATAACAAAATTAGAAGAGAAGTAAACGAATGGAAGCTAAAGCAGTATGGAACTACTGAACCAAGTAAATTGCTTACATTTGATACGGACGGCTTCATGCTGTGACCGGTTGTTCCTGAATATTATAAGTAGTTAGAATTCCCTCCGATTTTCACCGATGCTTCTTAACAAATGCTAACACTGTGTGGGGAAGCATCAGTTTCCAACATTAGCTGACGTACTTTAGTGAAATATAGGTGATGTCTATGCGGTCCTGAGGTTCCGCGACTGCACAGTAATTTAATCATAGCTCAGGTCCAGATGCTCTTCATGATACCAATGCAGAGTAGGTTAGGCTTCTCTGCTTTGCTTATATCAGTGATGCCATGAGAACACAGCAATCTTACTAACACCTATTATTATTGGCACCTTAACCAGAAGTTAAGTGAGCAGGTGCACAACCTTCTGGACTTCTGGCATTTTATGAACAGCTACTACTTCCGTTCTAAAACCATTCCACAGATGTGATTTAAACCTTGCGGGTCTGCGAAACAATTAGCTAACTAGTTATCGGTACAGTACTTTACTATGCTAGGACAGAGTATGTCGAACGAGAACTAAAGCAAAGAAAATGAATGTGGAATTTGTTTTTCTTTAAATTGAAAATTCTTTCAAGGCTTAACAATATTTGAGGAAAATAAACAGAACTATGGTTCATCTGAAACCCATTAGCCACTAGCATTACCCATTTCATTGGAGTGATCATGACCGTTGATGGTGTACCTTTACGTTCCGTCCATCAACCTTCAGGTGTGTTCAGCCAACGGCTGGACCGATGCTTTTGGTGAGATATTGTGGTGCTTTTTGAGCGGAAGTGAATAAATGAACCTGCGGAAGATTCGCTTCCACCGGCATTATTGCTTTGTCGCTCATCATCGCTGTCCTTCCTCTGAATTACTTTGCTTGTTGCGGTTGTCGCCGTGAGAGCAGAAATTGCGAATGGAGAATTGAGGAAGGAACCTGTTTCGCTAGGTTTTGCTAATGCAACTGCGGAAAACCCTAAGAAAAAGAGAATAAATAAAATTTCTTTCTTTCCTGAGTCAGCACGAAAGTTTGAAAATTAAGCGTTTCAGAGAATATATTCTGATGACAAGAATAAAGTTAAGGAAACAAGAAGCCAAAGTATGTTTTATAGTGAAGAAGCGGTCACCAGAAGAGAGATAAAAATATGTTGATACTTATCAGATGTTTATTTTTCTTTGTTCATCACACAATTTCTTGAAGTGTTCAACTCAGCGCTCAAATCTTTTCATTATGGAATTGATGAATTGGACTGCCCTCCCACGGAAACCGAACTTTGCAGCAAACATTGGGAAGGATCAGATTTTGATTTTGCAGAGCTGTGGTTGTAAAAATCCCAAATGAGGAAACATACCGTTTGAAAGGGAATTGGTGGAACCGTTTGAAGAAGTGATGCTTGTTTGTTGTTGTTGTTGTTGTTGTTGCTGTGCGAATATCACTTTCTGTTGCTCGTATAGTAGTTGGGTCATTGTAAGGGGTGGACGAAGTAGAAATGGTACCAGATTAGGTACCGTAGTTGGTACCACAACTGGCGTTTTTGACGATGCTTCTTGCGGTTTGCTATCTTCCTCACCGGAATCAACCTCTACCGTGTCAGGTGCTTCTGTTTTCTCCGAGCAGCTTGTAGTAGTCAATAATTTTTCGGGCATTCAATTTTATAATAGATTTTTGACGAAATTTTTAAAATTTCGTTCTTAAGAAGGAAAATATTGCGACAGTTTTCAATAATGCTCAACGTTTTCAAATTTCGTTCTAATCTGAAAGAGAAATACTCAGTCAACAAAATTAAATAGATTATCTATCTTGCGAGCAAATGAAAGCAATCTTATGGACTATTAACGGTCTAACAGGAAAAAAAACTGTGGTGAAAACTGAATTAAAAATTTTAAGATGGCCGCTTGAATCAAAATTCAAATTCGAAATTCATTAAGAAACATCGTCAATTAATTGCATTGAGAAGAATTAAGAATAGTACAGTTTCAGGATGCCAGGTTCATCTGTGGTGGATATTTTGCTTTTATAAACAACGATTAATAACAGATTTGCAACAGCAATGCAGATAACGGCGCGGAGTGGCAACAACTTGCTTACAGCCAATGTTCACCGTTTGATAGCCTGAGCCTGACTCTATTATGAAATGCTTGTCCTTCAAGACGGTTTTCGCAAAAAACTATTATCCAAATTAATAGGTAAACAGTTAAACTGGTATATTTTGGAACTCAAAAATTGGGAGCAGAAGAAGCGTAGGGTAATTTAGAGTATGAATAAGAGAACGTTTCTGCAATTCTCGACGCATTTTTTTCTTCTACATGGAATCAATGATTAGTGCAAAATTAAATTTTAAATATATTTGAAGAGTAAGGAGAAAAGTATCGCCATCTGATGGATCTGAAAAAGAAGGAAAGGGCAAGAAAAAAGATGAAAAAGGAGGAGAAGAAGGGATAAAGTAAATAAAAATGTAATTTAAGGACTTTAATTTCCCGTAATTGAGATACAAATTTTTGCTGATGCTATTGCTGTTGCTATTGCCAGTCGGAATGGAGAAGAGCAAATACTTTCAGGTTTGGAAGAGCCAAAAAATTTGCCCTTGAGAAATATGGGGAAATTCACTTCACACAGCATACTGTATTTTAAGTTATGTCTATTCATACATATATATGTATATACTATTTCTACCTGGAAATATATGTAAATAATAAATAAATGGAAGAAAAAAAGTCGACAGAGAAAAGGAAGTGGAGTTTATGCTATGCTGTGTGTTTGATATGATAAAGAACTAAATCGCTGTGTTTCATATATTTGCCGTTTTGGGGATCTGAAATTTAAATGAGATTTGAAAATGCAAATTGATATCAGTTCAAAAGTAAAAATATATAAGCTTCCGATCAAGTTAACTTTCTTTCTCTCTCTTCAAGCTTTTACCTCAAGTTGATTTCCCTCAACATAAAACTGACCATTTTTTTTTCAAGTATACTGAATAGAGGAAGAAAAGTGGAAGAGACTGGGAAGGCAATTAAAAGCAACAACAACAACAATATATTACTTCTGTAACACACAACCTCTGACCCGAGAGGTACCTGCAACCTCGCCGATATTTATCTCATGCAAATCATTTCCATCCATGCTAGAAGAGATAGAAGCTGGAAGATCAGCTGTTTCATCTGTACTTTGCAGGCTCTTCCATTCATCTCATTTATTCTACTTGCAGAGAAAGAGAGAGAGAGAGAGCTGAATCTCTGATAATTTTCAAGCAAGTCATAATTTTGAAAATATAGTTTACCGTGAAATGATGAATTGGATGACATTTGCAAGAAATGGCAATGGTTGTGAATATGGAATGATGGCGTAAAGGCCTATCGGCCAGAATCGGTAACGAAATGATCGCCAGTCGATCGAATTACCATTACCATTTTGTTATGAAGCGCTGAAAATGTAAAATTTGTTTGGTGCATTTTAGCGCTTTATAATTTTTTCTCGAAGCGGAGGAAAAGCACATTTGATGGATATCACGCGCACTCCTTATTTTTGCTTGTTCTCTACAGTCTTCTTCACTCAGCTTATCTATTATGATTTAAACGCACTTTAAATTTTCGAAATTTTCTGACCCGATAAAAAATAACATTGGTTGACACTGGTGATGACATATGAGGAGCAGCAAGGTGGGAACCCGTCAACACTCAAATAGTTATAATAATAATAATAATAACACTAAAATACTAATAGTAAATAGTAACAATCATCCAAAAGTAGTAATTAGTATTAAAAGAATAGGAAGAGAAAGAGGGAAGGAAGCCGAAGTAGCAATTAAGGAAATCGAAAATAGCCGGGTTGAAAAGTAATAAATTTAATAAAAGTTATAAATGGATGGCATTATTGCGTGCCGAAGACGTTCCTTCTCGAGCATTTGCTGGGAACGAATGCACGAAGAAGGATTATTATTTTTGATCATTGCTTCTCCATTGAGATGAGATAAGTAATCAAATTTGCACACTGCATGCTATGAAATCAAATGAAAGAAGTATTCAATTATTGATATAATCTTCGAAATTCAACTCAATTCAATCCCAATTCTCTCTTTCTATTCCAATGCCAGGTGAATAGATCATTAAATATATCATTTTCATGCCTTCTCCTCAATACTACTACTCTTGATTAACAACTAATTATATTGCTATAGCTGCAATTACCATCCTTCCACTTATCGCATTTTCATCTATCCACCATATCTTAATACTGTTGTTTACATTGCTGTTATTAGCATCGAATATCATCGTCAATTACCCGTGGAGAGACGAGGAATTACTGATGGACAAAAATTCCAAAATGTACTTGCTCCAATTTATTATTATTTATCAGCTCAATGTTTTTGGATCCTTTGCAGCTGAAAAAGACAAAAAATAAAAATTCAGTTATTATTATTATACTGTCGATCATTTGCAGCTAAGTTGCTATCACTTAGTAAATATGGAGTCAGCAAATATTTGAAAAATACTAAATTCATAAATCTACATAAATCTCCTTTTATCGCATCCCATGCAAATTAATTTCCTTCAAACGTTGTCGGTTGTTTCATTGTTGAATTGTGTAACATGTAGAAAAATGTCCAACGAGAATTTGATAAATTTGCGCTAACTTTGAAATGATGATATTTGTAAAAGAAGCAAGAAGCAAATATCCTTCCCCGATCAGCTAAATTGAGGACAGAAAGTGAATGATGACAGAAAGCTACAAATGATCACTGTCCAATTTTCAGTTACTTAAGGATTTCCTACAAATAGAAATTAAAGGCTCCCTCTTTCCAGTGCGTTGATCTCTCTGCTTCTTGGAATCGGTTTAAATGTTTGAAGTGAAAGGAGAAGTGCACCTTCTGAAAAACCAATACCAGCAATTCAATTAGATAGTTCAATTCAACCACACTCACAAATCATCCGCTTTATCTCAGTTCACATTAAAAAAATTAAATCGGAACATCCCACGAAGAAGGAGATTAGAAATTCGATGACCAATAGAGCATTTACTTCTACTCTTTTCCTATAACAACAGCAAACATCATAATCTGAAAAGCGATGAATAATTCTCATAAGGCAGATTATTTGCGACAGGCTTATGTTGTAAGCCGATAAAAGTTTCGCATGCAGGACGGTTTAATTGTTTCCATCCAATAGCTATTAACTTGTCAACCTCGTCGTAGTTGACTGGTAGGGGTGGAATCCGGATTGTTCCGGATTCTCTTGTGGAGTAGCGCTGCTTCTCAAGTAAGTGTGAAAGTGGATAAATGTAATCTCAGAGAGGTGGATCAGCCGGTCCTTCTTCATCAAACTAATAAAATGATTCAGGACTGGCACTAAACACTTAATATGCAGCGGACAAGTGACAGACAGACAACTGAAAGGGAAAATGAAAAAAAGGCCGAGAAGGAAAGATGCAATTAATAGATGTGTTGTGCAGTGGTAATTGGCCTTTAAACATTTTCATTCATAACTAAGTAAGTTTGTAGGAAAATGAACCAATCTTCCACTACCTAATCTATCCATCCATCTTTCATCCACCATCGACGCAAAGAGGACGAGAGCAAAATTTCCTCACTTCAATTGCTCATTTCAACCCACAGTTGCGAAACTGTTCTCATCCATGGTGGACATTTAACGTTGAAACTTTAAAGCAATTGGCAGTAGTAGGAATTAATTATTCATGTCAGCAATCAAGAAGAGATAATTGATTTTGTCGTTATTAAAGGGAAGAGGTATTATTATTATTGCTCCTAATGCATCCATGAAAGTTATTTGAGCAAAAGGAGACAAAAACAAAAACGCTAGGCCTCATAACTTTTATTGAGCAGGCAGCTTGCGCTTTCCACATTGTTCATCTTCCCGGTGTGCAGCCATTTATTAATAAGGCCAGTAATTAGATGAAGTTGGTAGAGGCAGAGGGAGAGGAGAGAGTAGAAGGGAGGAGTAAGTAAGCAAGTAATGCGTGCAAAAGCAAACAAAACAGAAAAAGATGTAGAGATGGCTCTCGATAACATCAAGAGAAAATACATTCGCCGGATATGACAATTAAATCTTAAATGAATAGAAAAGACGTGCTGAAGACTTGAAATAAATAAATTAAATCAAATTCGATTAGAAATCATTCCGAATTTAAACAATTTTTTAACAAATCTTCGTGTCGAACTTGACACTTTTATAAAGCTGAACAGAAAATACCGAGAATTCTTGGAGATCATGCTGCGCTCAGCGCTTGGCTAGTTGCCACAGCTCTCAGCTAATTGAACTCTCCTATTGCTCCTTTCTCCTCGTCCAGCAAATATTAATTATACCAATCACTGTTGATCAAAAAACCAACAGAGCAGATATGTCAACGAATCAGAACTTATCAATAATTATTGTATTGAAGTGCTTCTCACTCATCCCGAGCTTCCATAATTCGAACTGGAAGAGCGGGAGCTTCTTGCAATCCCGACAGGAAAATCTAGGGGAAATGTAAACTTACTAGGTTCTCACCTTTTAGTAAGTATGAAGAAGTACATCAACACTTCTTCACATCCGTGCTGCCATCTGGAAAGATAATCACTTAGAGAAACTGTCACAAACTTTAGAAGCGACGACAGGTTTGATCGTAAGAAAAGTTAGAAGCGATGACGATAGTG